TTTTTTCACTTATTTGCAATATAAGGATTATTTTAATCCATTGTTCACCTTTGTTTCTTGTTGTAAAGTATTAAATTAAAATTGTAATCCACATTCAAAAATTGTGTTATTATATTATTTCAACTATCTAAATAAAAAAAATTCTCGTCTTGATTCTATTGTCATCCAATCGGTGACGCACACCAGGTAATTGGTAAAAGATCATATTAATATATATTTGCACATCATAAGTAATAGGATTGCCATTAGCAATAGTTAATAAGAAACACAGACTCAGGTGTATTAAAAGTTAATATAATTATATAACTAATATTTATAAATCTATATCCAAGATCCAATTCATAATAAAAATTATAGTCTTTAGTAAATAGTAAATGTAAATTTAAGATTGTAGACAAGTCTTAACCCCATAATTTATTATTAATTTTTAGGCTTAACTACAGCATGTTGGTTAATATATACAATTATAAGGTAAAGTTTTATTTTAAACCTCTGGATGGTTTATGATTATTACAAAACATTTAATAGACAGTTTCAACACTATCAGGGATGGTGATCTTAAGATTAATCCATATTTAATAAATAAATTGGTTTTGTTTTTCATTTTTCATACTGTGAGAATCATAWTCCTGTTAAATTCCAGTAATCTAGTAACTTGATTTGAATTTCATCATAAAAATGGATTTTTATTTTTTAAATAGCTATGAGAACCTGATACATAGGTATTTGACTACTTTTTATCTTATCATTATCTTCCTTACAAACAATTATAAATTTGCTGATTTTTCTAAATGTCTGGATAATATTTAATCCTTATACGCTCATCAGTCGGGCATTAAAATATCCAACCTTATTTGTACACAAAAACCAAAGTTTATCAAAACTACCTACTTATTTTCATATACTTTAATTTTTTTTATTATTTACMTGGTACTATCTCCCAATTATATTGTTTGTATTTATTTTTTGTTTAGTTTTGTTCAAAGGTCTAAAATGTCCAGCAAAATGTCTTCGATAAAATTTGAGCAACAAAATATACTAACTAATACATACATTAAAGAAGAACATATTGATGAATCAGTAGAATGTAATGACAGCTATGGTTGTGAATTCAATTATCAATGGTAAGCATTTTATTACAACATGATAGAGAGTCTTGGGCTCTTATACTTCTACCTGATTATCTTCTATTTGTCAATTTTATATTAATTTTGTGTGTTTAATTTTTAATAGCCTATTTTTAAGCACAAGTACAATTTATACTGGACAAAATCAAAACTCTACAATACTGACTTAAAATATTTCTGAATTGCTTTGAAATTAAGTTAAATATTATGTTTACATTATTTATTCAGAAAGGGGGATAAATGGGTAATACTCTGTTGTACATTAGGTGTCTACAGATTCATTGTATTGGATGTGTTAAATTAGAATTCAATTACAAAATAATTGTATACCGATAATAATTTTGAGTGAAGACAGTTGGCCAGTCTATAATATTAATAAGTATATTTTATGATATTATTGTGGTTAAAGTCATTTTTTTTTACTCTTAGGCATTAGTACTACAGTAGGTTAATTTTTTTGCCACAAACATTACATTTGATGTCATTGTTTGTGCAAMATTTTTAAATTACAACAAGATWACTAACATTCTTCATCTTTAGTTTTGACCCCTCGAAGTAAGAAAATCAAAACATTTTTTTATTTTGCTACAAAAGATGACAGACACAATAAACAAAAATGTGGACTAGTTGGTACTGCTCTGCTGTACAGTAGTTGAAGAGCATGTCAATATTATATTTGAATTCAATGATAAATCATTGCATATGAAAAAAATTCTGAGCGGAGGCATTGTGTCACTGATCCCTAGTATAAATACTTGTATAAAAAATTAAATTTAATAGTTAAAAAAAAAATTAAAAAAATTTTATGGCTATAAATCACATAAATTTCAAGCAAACTTTTGTTTTTTGATTTAGAATAATTTCTCGGGAATTTCCTATTAACATTTCTCATGTTAGCTCTGAAAGGAAAAACTTATACAYTTTTAGTTGAAAAATAATTTACAAAATTATTAAGTTTTGAGTTAGGATAAGATTATTGATACAAAGTTTATATAACTGTAAATGTTACCTACTTCACTCTTTTCATATACTATACATTTTAGTGATCTTAACTTAAATTCTTAGTTTTTTAAGTCATATTTTAAATTTAAATTTTACAATTTAGATGTAATTTTAATTATAATTATTGTTTCAGGTCAGTGCAAGATTCTAAATATATTACAGAAAATGTCAAAACACAAATAAAAACTGAAGTGGATATTATTGATGATGTTATATATGAAAGTTTTTTTATGAGAGAGAACTACAATTACGATCCATCAATCTTTATGTCTCCTATGTCTACAACATATGAGACAAAAAGCAATCCAAATATTAATGCCTTTGCTTTAAATTTAATATCTCGTGCACACAAGAAGGTATTGTGTAAAAAAAAACAATTCTCTTCTCAAAACAAAGAAAAATCTGATAAAGAATATAAATGTGGTATTTGTAATAAATCATTTTCACTTAAAGGTAACTTAAAAACTCACATTTGGATTCATATGAAAGAAAAGCCTTACAAATGTTTTATTTGCAATAAATCTTATTCTCAAGCATCAACTTTAATTACTCACAAAATAATCCATAGTTCTGATAAACCATTTAATTGTGATATATGCAAAAAGTCGTTTGCACAGAAAGTAAATATGAAGACTCACATGATGTTCCATATAGGTGACAAATCTAATAAAAAAATTTATAATAAAACAATTTCACAAAAAGAATATCTTATGAAAACACTTACTGTTGAAGATCCATACAAATCAATCAACAGTAATGAATTATTATCTCAAGGAACAACATTAAATACACGAAAAATTATTAAAAGTTCTGCCATACCATTCAAATGTAATTTTTGTAGTAAATCATTTTCAAACAAAGGAAATTTAAAAACTCACATAAGAACTCATACGAAGGAAAAACCATATGAATGCAATATTTGTAGAAGAACATTTTCTCAATCATCAAATTTAAAAATACACCAAAATACTCATAAAGTTCATTAATTATTTAATTGTGCTCTCTGCAAACAATCTTTTGTGCCAAATGTGCTTATTATTAAGTCACCTAAAAATTCATAAAATATAAATTAGTATAAATGAGAACAGAAAAAGTAGAATACTTTTCTCTTTATCTTCCATATAACACAGCAAAACCTCTACTAGCTAGCTAGGAAAATAGTGCAAAATTCTAAACAGTGGATGTTGCTTTGAGAACAAACCACAAACTGAACATAACAGGGAACAAAATTTCAGTTCACAAATGTCCGCTATTTCGAGGTTTCACAGCATATATTTGTATATTTATCCTATGTATTATATATAGGTAATTAGGTATAATATACATTTTATTGCATTTAAAAGTTATAGTAAAATAAATTTATCTTATATGCTTAAGCATTTATGTTAGAAATTATTTTAAGATTCAATATATTGTGTTTTGTGATTATATGTTACCGTAACAAAGTTTATATTAACCATAAAATTTTTTTTTTACATTTTGTTTACTAAAAAAWTTTTTCTTCATCTGATATTTTAATTATCTGTCTACTTTGTAATTTTGGTAATAATGTTGTATAATTAATAATATATTCAAAAACAGCAAACATGAATTTCTCAAATATGCTAAAAATAATTTTCCTTTGAACTCTGTATTGAATAAATTGTCAACATTTTACTCACATAAGACTAAATTTACTCTTATCACAGTGGGACAGTTGATAAAAACTACTGTTACTTTTGGAAGGTGAACCTAAGCAAGTTAAAACACATAATGTCTCATTCAAATTTAGTGTTTAGAACTTAGCAAAGAGAAATAGAGGTATAGGACCACTGCTCATATAAATTACCAGAAGTAATATAGATTTAATTACCTAACGGTAAAGAAAAACTGTTACATAGGTATTATACATATTATAAAATTAAAATTAAATAAAACAATTATACCAATCATTAAAAAACTTTAATATTACTTAGTTTAGGTATTTGTTTTTACAYGTGATTAAATACAATTTAATTGATCACCATAGATTCATGAAACAGCTTTCAGTTCTTCAGGCATATCATTTTTAGGGTGTTTGTTTTCAAAGTGTTGTTTATAAGTTTTAGGATCTGGCATCTGTGCCTAAAAATAAAATTGTTTACTGATAATTATTTAGATACAGCAAATTACATTCAACTAAGTATATACCTAGTATTATTTATTGAAATTAATACAAACATTTAAATAATCATTAATAATTAACAAACTTAATCATAAAATTTATACATTTATATTCTAAGGGTTCCACACCCGCATGTGTTAACAATAGCGTAATATAGCAAATTGAACGCTCAGCAGTTTCAATTTAGCTCCGTTAATTTAAAATTTTGAGTGAATTGACCTCTTATGAAAATTAAAGGTAAAATTATTATGTAGGTTATCACAGAGGCTTTTTTTTATATTTTAATTTAAAAAGCGAGTGTATGAGTATTTTTAAAATTGTAAATTGTTTGTATATCTTAAAATACTCATAACTCGCTTTAAAAAAAATATATAATAAGGAGCCTCAGTGATAACCTAGATAATAATGTTACCTTTAATTTTCAGAAGAGATCAATTCATTCTAAATTTTAAACTAACGGAGCAAATTGGAACTGCTGAGAGCGTACGTGAAATTTGGTATGGTAAGCACTTGTAAAACAGAGTCAACAAATGGAGATATGGCATCCTCTTAAGATTCAATTTATAAGACCCATTGCTTAAAATTTTCTGTAAATTTATAATATTATTTGTGTTTATAATTATATCATAAATAAAGATAAGATTAACTTAATAACCAATAACAYAAAGTAAAACTAGTTAGGTCAGGTAATGCAATATCTGACCACCTTCTAGAAATCATTAGTTAATGATTATTTACTTTTGTGAAATTAATAACAATTTTTGGTACCTACCTATATATAATAAATAATATTAATTTTAAGTTGATATCAGTTAAGTTTCCAATACATGTTTATATATTATAGCATTTTATGAAGAGGATGTCAGTGCAATGATTGTTTTCTCTTTCTGTTAAGCCGGGTGCACACTAGGACGAACATTGTTGTCGAACATGTTTCCTGGCTCGACAAACCAATTATGTTACTTGCTACTGTACTTTAAAATGTTCGTTAAAAATACACAAAGATTTACCGCCTTTTAAATTAGCAACTTAAAGATTTCGCATTTGTATTATTTATTTAATTTTAGTAGGAACCTACATCTAGTGTGGAGTGAACAAATGCCAATTTTTCTAAAAAATTATGGGTTTTAATTTTTTTTTTTAGATTGTGAGCGAAGTGATGAATGTATTGATTTTACCATGATGTGTGYTTTTATTTTTTTTGTGTCTGTCATCACGTTTGGGGGCAGTTAAAGTGCTTTGATTTTTGACTTCAGTACCTCGTTTGATCAGAAAGTGAATCTAGTTGGTACTTTGGGGGGTCAAAACTAGAAAATGTTCAATATTTTTCTAAATAATCGGATAAACAAACTAAAAATTAAGGGAAAAACAGGAAATTTTACGCAAAATCAGTTTTYGACAAAATCGATTTTGGTTTTTTTGTAACTTTAAAACAAATGACCATAGATACATGACATTTTCACCGAATGTTTATATAAGTATATTATATCCACCACACAATTTTCAGAAATTTTCGACTTAAGTTGAACTATTCATAGGTATTTCCAATTTTCGATCATTATTTAACCTGAAAGGCTCTTAACATATTGTTACAATAGCAGTTGAAAAATAAAAGAAATTTATAGTCACAATTTTTTTTTACAAGCATTCAAAGTTTGAATTTTCACAACATACGTAATCACGAAAATTCATAAAAAAATTTTCTTTTATATCTAAGATTTGAAAATTAAATACAAGGCTCTTAATAAATTTTTACAATAGCAGGTGAAAAATAAAAGAAAAATATAGTCACAATTGATATTTACAAGCATTCMAAGTTTGAATTTTGACAACATACGTTAAAATCATGAAAATTCGTAAATTATTTTACGCTAGAAATTCATAAAAAATTTTCCTTTTATATCTAAGATTTGAAAATTTTTAATAATCTATTATATATCTCCTAAACAGATAAACCGTCTTCGCTCAGAATCGTTTTTCRTATTCAATGATATAAWATCATTGAATTCAAATTTAATTCCATCCATTACAGTAACCCATTTGCAACCTACTGTACAGCAGAGCGACATCCACGACTTACCCGCTTCTTTTCAATATGAGTGACGAAGATATAATTATTGCAAGKGCAGCGTTTGTTTTTACATCGTTAGTTTCTCAAGCCAATTAAGCTCATTGTTCTACTTTTATAACAGATAGCATAATATAGAATTTTTAAAAAAAAAAGTTTCTCAAGCAAAAAAAAAATCTTTTTATAAAGGAYGTTGTTGGAAACGTACAATTTTTGAAAATGTTTGTACTGAATTTTAGAAGAAATAAGCCACGTTCAATCATAATAATTTGAGTCCAATATTTTAATAAAAACAACAATTTACATATTTTTTTTAAACTTTCATTCGATATTTAAAATTAAAATTTGAAGTTTTGAATAAATCAATATTATAATTCAAATAGTGTTTACCTTTACTATAAAGGTAAGTAGGTAAACTTGATWAATAATCAGTCATTCTATGAACTTTTTGAAAGATAATTATTTATTCAAAAATATTTATCAATTTAAAGATAAAATATACATTTTATATTTTTATGTATAAATTATAGTTTATAGCAAATTTGTTGTCCAACACGTCTACACTGATGACAGAGTTAGCAAACATTTTCTTTGATGTTCGTTGAAATACCGCCTATTGAGCRAACATTTTAGAGTTATACGCGCACACATAGGAAACACGTACAGACTAGGTGAAACATTCTCAACGAACATGTTCGACAACAATGTTCGTCCTAGTGTGGACCCGGCTTTACATGCACAACATAAACTAAATGCATTTACACGGAATCAAATTTTATGTTTTTGAATAATCTTAAACTAAATTCACTAATTAAAAATTGATAAAAAATAATATTTTTTAGGAAATAACATATCAATTTGTCTAAGTATTGTCTTAAAACAATTGAAACATCATTTAAATTTCCAATYATTATTAATTAATTTTGAAAGTCATATCCAATGTAAAAGAATAATATAATATAAAGCCGATTTCATACTATCAAAAATATTATCTACTAAATTTTTTATTCTTAGGTTACTCAGAAATCATAAGGATTGATTTTAGGTGAAAGCGTTTTATCTATGTTTTCCGAGAAAAAACAAATATTGTACTGACATCCTCTTAATTCACTTTATTAATCATACATATTGTTTAACTTGTTCTTGATATTTGTGTACACATTAATTTACTTATAATTACTTAAAAAAGTAAGACCTTTACAAAATTATTACAAGTAATAACTTCATAATGGTTTTTTTTCAAACATGAAACTTTTAATATGGAAATTCAATTTTATAGTAATAGAATCAATAGTTTAGTCTTTAAAATGTGCAAATATTTCTGAATTTTCATTTAATTGCACACATTTGTTGTCTACCTATGCAAAATTATAGCTCATAATAAATATTAATTAAAAAAATTAGTAGAATAGTATTTTTTTGAGTGGCTAGGTGTGGGGAACTATAGTCTCCTAAACTCCAAATCTGATGACAGAGTATGAAAGGTAGAATAAGATTTAAGATCAATAATAAAAGTTGTATTATTATCAATTAATTAATAATATAAATAAGATTTAATATAGGTTAGTAGGATACTTTAATAAATAATTAAATTGTAAATAGCGTTGGGGTTTATAGTAAATAGGTTAACAAATTAAAGTAAAATATATACGTTGATCTCTAAAATCTTTGATGTTTCATTGTTTATTATTATATTATAATTGAATAATCAAAAGAGCYGAGATATACACAGAAGCAAGGATTTGAATATTTTTTGCAAATTGTATATTATTAATGATACRATATTCTTGTTTAGGTACTTTAACTTTTACTATGTTTGTATGATGGCGTTAAAACGGTTTAAAAAATGTAAATTGTTTTAAAGGTTAAAACGCTCACACTATGTAGTTTGAGAATTTAAAACTGATTCAATTTCAAACTGTTTTAACGCCATCATATAAACGTAGCATATATGTATAAGGGATAAAGTAAAAAGCTTACTTTACAAACAGTGCAAACGTGAATCAACGCTTTCTGCGCAGCTTTCTTCTGCTCATTGGCGCTATGACCCTGTTGCTTTTTCATCTTAGCTTGTTTTTCAGCGGCCTTGGCCTGCGACTGCGCTTTCTGTTGTCCCCTGGCCATGACAAACTGATGGTAAAAAAAAAAAACAATGATAATAATAATATAAAAGTTAACAAACCCATTCGGTCACTACTTGTCAAATAGGTTTAGGAGGATAATTTATTAGGTTGTAGAACACACTTACTGAATTGCGAAAAAATACTTTAWCAACTAATGTAGCCAATTGGGACCGTATCGACAGCCGCTCGTTGAGCTGTCCACGAAGTTCGAAAGCAGGGTTCTGAGACCACTCTCGAGTCTTGGTAATGAAATCGTACGATCGGACCGCACGTCACTGTGAATTGTGATTGGTAACTAATGTTGGTGGGTCGTGGCTACTGTTCGTCGTTCGAGGGACCGCTGGTGAACGGAAAAAAATAGGTATTATGTATAAAACTCCGAAACGAGATACGGCGTTTAAGAACGTCGTCTCTCCGGTCTCCACTCGTCCCGAGTCACGCTCACGACTTCACCACGAGTAGACAATAATAGTCACTAGTCCGACATTCGCACCGTTATCACCCATTCACAAACTCGGCCGGGACAACAACACTGGAACCAATCACAACTGTTATTTGTAATAATGATAATACTGGTACGCCCGTATGTTTACCTGAAGGCCCATAAGGTAAATGCATCAATAGACCTTATACTTATATAATGCATAGACATAAAAATTCTATTATGTGTTAATAATGTGTCTATGCCTCTACGGGTAAATGGTAATCTTGTATTCTTGTAGATAGCTGATAGATCAATGTGGTCGAACTAGAGAGCCTGGAATCTGTATATTATCCAGGCTCTCTAGGTCGAATTCTTTGACACTTAACACCCACAAAGACTTTTTTTTCCACCATACATTTTGAGATGTGTATTGTATAGGTATTATGACGTAGATTTAATGAAGAATTAGATGCACTTATCGTTGATGTTGTTCTATGCTGATATTAAGTTTTTTAAACTTTTGGACGTGACATTGGCAACTAACCATACTAGTTTACCAACTTGGCGACTTTTTTTAAATCAAATATTCGTCAATAAATAGCACCTATATATTTTTTTTTTGCCTCGAAGATTTTCAGAAATGTTCAAGGATTTTGAACGTTCAGTCACATCATAAAATTTCATATATTCTGTGGTAACCTAGCCTAACGTAAAATACCTTGAAGGCTTGAACTAGCTGTAGCTGCTGTTGAAGGTTTAGAAATTAATTACCTATGTATAATATTGGTAATTTATCATAATATTAAAATATAGTCATCTACTTTTTACACTCTACGACCCTCTGTAATTTGTAATATTATGTCCACTGTTCCACCTTATCTTAATTATAATATTGTAMAAWTTTTTTATGCATGTACACCACCGATGCTAGGGGGTACTCACCCCCTAAATTAGGTTCGGCGCCACAGTGTGGTTCAGTGCTTAATTTTGGGGAAGAAGGGACAATTGTACGAAACGATTTACATAATCAATACTATATACATTCGATACTGCACTTAGTGCAGTGCACTACATAACATTACTGTCATTACCAGTTACCACTATATAAAACACGAGGCACAGGCTACGACATGGCCACATAAGGCAATTACAATGGTATGGGGGCCCGCATTGCCAAATCCTGAATTCACTTTTGACGTTGGTATAATGATAATATAGTTGGTACTCGTCTCCTCAAACCTTAAAGCGGTTCTGGAATGTTGATTATGTTTGTGATAATCTCTGAACTCTGAAGTAGTGAAGTCTGAATGGTTCAGAAAATGTTGGACGATTTTGAAATCTGAACATCTAAGGACGGTCCTGGAAATCTTTGGTCAATAATTTTTTTTTTAAATGTTGGGTCTATTATATTATATTAATTTAATATATACTATATTATATATGGATCCCGTATCCATGTATACCCCGTGTACCAACTTTCAAATCCGTCAGCAAATRTTCAAAACCAGTACCAAACTACCAACATTCAAATACTCGGGACGATTTTTAAATTATTGGGAAGGTTTACAAACATCCTCAAGACGGTTCCTGAAAAAACCGTTATTATAAATATTTAATAGTAATTCTAATTATTCGTTATTACTTATTTGTACTGTTAAATCTAGGAATTTTGAAAACGCCAAAACACATATTATATCTATAGAATATTTAGTATAGAATCTCGATGATTTTTGAATGAACTGATGACGGAAAGACTTTTACACGATTCTGAAAACATTTGTTGATGAAACATTTGTCATTTGTCAATGATGTTGAAGTATTATCTGCACTCAGTCTTAAGACCAAATTAAACGTTTTTATCAACAACTAGCGGCAATTAAAAATATTAAAACATCTAAAACTTAAGACTTACAAATTTTTAAACCAAAATACAGTGTGCAATAATTCTTCATAGGTAAAATCATTACTAATAAAATAGCATCAAAAACTAAATATATTAATSTTAACTATAGTCACTATTGAGTAGGTATTTTATATTTAAAATAACATGCAAGTTAATTAAATATTACCCATAAAAGTAGCGTTTTCTCAATATATTTATTGTTTTATATAATATTAGGTATGTAGTATGTACTCAATACTCAGATGCACTTTGATAATTATAAATACACTGCCAATTGAAAAATTAATTAAAACGGTACATTTTGTTATGTTGTGTTAGAAACTATGTTACCAAACTGATAATTAAATAAAAATTATAAAGAAAAATGTTTAATTATATATTGTTCTATGATATTATACTTAATAATAGTATATTAATATGTATAGTGTAATAGAGTATAATAAAACATTTTAATACTTAAATACCAATTACATCTATACATTTTTATCTGTATTCCATGTTTAAGACCAGACTTTTAAAACCAATAAATAATTACAATATTAGATAAAWAAAAAGTAAAACATTGCTCCTCACATAATATAGATGTTAAAAATATTTTTAAATTTTAAATTTTTATAAACTTAAAATAAATTTATGTTTTCATCATAATTAAATTTTATCTTTAAACAGTTTGCTTTTAGTATAAAAGATATTTTGATTTCTAAATTAAATAACAAAGACCTTTAAACTAGTAATCAATTAGACAGTTTTATATAAATTAAATGTATTAATTAGTTTATTGAAAAAAAAAAAAAATGATTTGTAGCTATAAAAAATATTTTTCGATAGATATATAATATAGATTTTTACAATAACTTGGATATCACATAATGTTAAATTAAATTTATAGAAAAATAACAAATTTACTTTACTCTAACGTGACAGACAAAGAGTTCATCAATTTTTAATGTTCAAGAGTAAAAATTATACATCTCGAATAAAATATTTAAAATACCACATTGAATCTGGTAACAAAAAAGTGGAAAGCATAAAAAAAATTCTAACGAATCTTTAATGTAATGATTTTGTTTAAATTATCATAAATATAATTTGAAAGATTAGTAAATAATAAAATATACTAAAAATATATAAGTAATCAAGCTGAAGCTCAAATAGAAAACTTTAATAGAAAATTTAGTAGTTTCAGTATCACTATTACTTACATCTAATAACAAGATTATACAACATATTTTGTCACTAGCCTCTTAGAATGTACAATTAATTTGGTTAAATAAACAAGTATTATTAGCTAATTTAAATACTTAAATAATTATAGTAAAAGTAATAATTTTATGTTTTAAATCAGTTTTATTTTGAAAATTGAGGAACTGTGTATATAAATTTGTAATACTAATAATTAAGTAATTTAAACAAAATCTTAAGTTGTCGGATTTAAAACTGCCTGTTTTTTTGCAAATGCAATAAAAACTTGTTCGAGAGTTGTGTCACCAACAGTATAGTCTTCAATTGCGGTATAATATTCTTTAATTGTTTTCATTTGACCAAATATCTCAGATAGTGGTATATTTGGATTAGTAATGTGATAGTGCAATAAACCCTGTAATATAAATTAAGTAATATAAATAAATTTATACATGTACAAAAATAAATTATTTTTCACTAATAATTTTGGTTTAATTCATATATCACATAAAATATAAAAGCAACTAGATTATATATTTGTATTCAGTTTTCAATAACAATACACAAATCTACTATCTTTAAAAGTTGTTTCATTCAGATATTATTCAGAAAGGTATCTCGAYAAACTAGAACTATCACTATGGTTTCAAACTTATAAGCCTATGAACACTTCAAGGAACATAAATAAAAAAACACAAGCTGTCATTGCTAACTAATTTAAAAAGTGTTAATCTTAGTAAAAACACCAGCCAAGTATGAAAGTTACAAAACTAAATAAGGACAATAAAAGGAAAAAAATAGTGGTTAAAAAGTTATTAATACTTATGGGGCTGACCTGTTTTTTTGCTCAAAAACATCCCTTTTAGAAAGAACTCTCACACCTTAAAAATTATCTAATTTTAATAGTTTTTTGTTTTTGAAAAAGGAAAACGTGAACTTAAATATAAAGTATTCTATTTCTAAACCATATGATACAATTTAGAAAATAATCAATTTTTACAAGTTTTTTTTCTATTTTTTACTTTTTTTTTAAATATCATAATCAAAAACCTAAGTTTATAGTTTATCCTTATACCATAAAAAATCACATTGTAATTTAAACGAGATTAAACCAATCTACAGTACAAGGCATAAGAACTATTCTTGTAAAGCTTTTTTTGAGTTAGCAGTGCTATTAACATGTGTGCGCGTAGATAGTACTTGTATACAATTTCACTCACACTCTCACAAAGTTGAGAACTATTGCTCTAAGGAATTGCAGTACAGTTTATAAATTGTAGACAATAATGTACTTACTTTAAATAAAAAAAAGTATAAAAGCTTAATCTCACCTTATGTTCGTCTTTTAGATTTATGTCTGGTGCAAACTGTCGTTCTATATCAGATTTTAGTTCAGAAACATTGAAATCTTCAATATAACGTAGTTTTATCATTATTGTAAACCCTTGTCCATAACGATTTTTCAAATATTGTATATTACCAATACATTTCATAACACCGTCCACCATTATTGTCAAACGGTTACAAAGTGCTTCACATTCATCCATACTAGGTATTTAAGCAAATCAAATAATTATTACTCAATATAGATATTGTATACACATTACACAATGTTTTTACCTATGTGATGTTAGTACAACTGCTTGTCCACCTTTTTGACTAGCAGCTAATAATTGCCATAAATTACGCCTAGCTACAGGATCTACTCCACTAGTTGGTTCATCCAAAAACACAACAGGAGGATCTCCAATTAATGCCATCGCAGTGTTTAATTTTCTCTTATTACCACCACTATATTTTCCACAGACTCGATCTTTGTATTCTTCAAGACCTATAGCAATAATAMTATTATAATGAAAATTCTAACAAAAACATTAGTCAAAGTATATAAATTTTAAAGTTTTTAAGATGACTAGTTTTTGTAGGAATCTTTTGGAAAAATAAATTGTATTTATTATTAATCTATTAATAT